GATGCCTCTTCAAAATTGAAACATGTCAGACAATACTCTTCACAGTCCGGCAATTTGATAATTATGATAACCTATTCACAGTTATCAAAATAACGTTAGCCAAGAAACCATGACAAATGAATGTTTGGAGAATGCACCATCGTCAAAAAAACTTTACCCAACTCTACCATCCACTGGTGGCCCCTAGCTAGTTTTCAAAGTTTGAAATTCAAGTGTGTCGAGGGAAAGCGATATGACAAGAGATATTGAATGATATTTCTAACGTGAAAAGATGCCGAGTGATTTTCAGCAGGAATCAAAGCGTTGAAGCATTGATACACGTAGGAAAGGCAAAACTTTTCCACTGCAAATCTGACGTGTTGGTCAGTCGGAAGTCTTTATTTCGTCTCGAAATTCAAAATTCAAATCATCTTCTGACCGCCCGTCAACATTCATCCATAAAATCGAATTTTGTTGTGGTTGAACAACAAAAAAACTGATGAATTTTAAATGAAAATATTACTTGTTTCAAAGTGCGACTTATTATGAAAGATGGTACTAAAAATCAATTACATAGGTAATTATTATCGAAAATACGCAAGTGTCGTCAATCTAAGAAGTGGCGCTTAAAACCGTATTTTTCAAAGATGTACCGTCTGCATTTTATTCATATTTTAAGAACATTTTCAAGTATTAAATGCTTCGAAATAAATGGCATTTTGTTTTCAGCAAATTTGCACGTCAATAATGCGCAAACGTAAATTTTACCATTGGAATTATAAAAAGTCTCGACATACCTTTTATTGAATCATTTGAAATAAAAAAAAATGTATTGGATTTGGTTACGACATGATTTCGTTTATATATTCGCAAGGTATGCTTTGAATTTCAGGTGGTTTCGTTTTTGTTGTCAACAAGTATTGTTCATACATCATTCAAATGTGGTTTTTCAGCGTTGCTACTTTCAATATTTTAACATAGAAGTTTCTGATTGCATATTCAAAACTCATACTAAGTTTTTGCAATCGAATTTGATAATAATCGAATACCGTACAGTTGCTTTATATATTTTTGGACTCGGAATACCTGTTTTATTACAACGAAACAAAAATTCAGTATGCATTATTATTACAGCATCAAGCAGGAAAAAAAAGCAAACGAGTTTGTTTCACATTTTATTCCCCTTCGAACAGTGAAAGTCATCCGTCGCTGGTCCATTGGCGACAGAAAAAAAAACAGAACATTTTATTATACAGTTCAATTCTTGTTGCGAACAGGAACAAACATTGCCGAAACAAAAGTAATGGTAATAATTACAAAACGAAAAAAAAAATCATAAATCTCACACACATGGAAATGATCATTGTCAATTTGAAAATCAACCAAAATAATTAACGAGATAAAGTTGAGCGTTCGTTTCAAAGCACGTGTATTACCGAAATCATTTGCAATTCTAGAGCTGGAATGTACACTTGCAAATGTGCGGCTGTTGTGTGTATGTCTTTGTCTGTTTCTTTTCGCGTATTTTTCAACTTTCGATTGTGTTGTATGATTTGCAGTGTGTATACGTTAGTTACGAACTGTAATGATAATTTAGTCATTTATATGCCATCAATGTGATAACATCGTGTGCTTCGTTACCTGTAAAACAAGCAGCTGAGCTCAGCTGCATAAAATCCGTGCATCAACAAACGTGAAATAAATTGGTGATTTTGGTTGGATTTTTTTTTTATTTCTGACAGTAGTTTTTGATCAACGGTTGCAATTCGTTGCACCGATGAATTCGGTACGCCTTACATTTCACTTTTGAAATTAAGTTTTTGTGAATGCTCCAAATATCGTAATTATGGCGGGAAGAGTAAAATTTTCAGAGTAATTTTTCTTAAATTCAGTTCAAATATGTGATAAAAACTTCGTTAACGGTAGATTTTACAATGTTACGGTTAATGTAACGGACGGTATTCGATTTGGTTGCGTCAAAATCAGTTCAACCATCCATTCAAGTCAATATCCGACGTCGAAGGTGAACAACAATCAGTCGCTTACGTGCATTAACGTCAAAGTTCTATATAAACCGATATATACAATTAAATTAGTGCGAATAAACGTTTCAAAAGTAACGGGCCATTCATTGCAAATGATACTTTCAAAAATGAAGAGAAAGAAAAAAAAAACACACGCAAAAAGAACAAAAGAACTTCCTAGTTGTCAACCACGACAACGACGCACAAAATATTCGCAAAATACAATAGTAAATTCTTCATCGGTTTGTTTAATTTAATATATTCGAGTTGTTTATTCAAATAATTCAAATAATTATATATGAGAATTCATTCGATTTGCCGTCTGGCACACAGTATCAGGAAGGTTATTTTCCATTAAAAGGCACGCGCACACCTATTTCTCTTTTTTTTTTTAATTTGACGACCAAAATTTATTGTAATTATCATATTTTGTGTATATGATCGTAATTTACGATTCGTAAACGGTGTTTTATATATGCACGCGATCCAGCTTATTATATTGATAAAAATTGAAACAAAAACAAATGGCAGACAAGACAAAAATTGCGATGAGCACATCAAGGTTGAAAAACCCGTTTTCTTTTCTTCTTTCGAAAAAATGTAAATTAATCTTTGAGAATTCATTTATCAAATCACTTTCACTGTGTACATTTTTTACGTGCAAATGTTTTTTTTTTTTTGCATTTGAAATATTTAAATGGATATGACAAGTTGAGCAGTTTTTTTCTGTTTGTTCGAATTTACATTTTGCGAGAGAAAAAGAATACCAATTGAAACAGAGCAATTGGGTGACGTAAATACTTTGAATTGCTAAATAAATACCACAAAAAATGGAAGTGATGCTTTAAATTGTATAAGCTGGTCACTTCACCGAGCATCATCATCATCACACACTTATTTGAACCGACTCTCGCATTTGATTTTATTTTAGCGTATTTGTGTGGCAATTGGCGGGAAGACTCTGTAAATCAGACAATATATTGAATTGACTGGTCAGTTGAGCTAAATGGGCTAAAACAATAGACTTTATTGTTTTAATGATGAATCGCTTTTCTTGTTTTAATAGAAGTGATTGTTCATTATAACAATAACTTCTATTGTTTGAGTCCATTTAGCTGGCTAACGTACTGTCAGCTCAACTGACCAGTTAGCTCAATATATTGTCTGCTGTAAATTGATGTGTAACACTCATAAAAAAAAATTCTGTGATAAGAATCATTCATAAATTGGATCTATTAAAGCGGAAACAGTTTAGTGTAGCAGTCTAGAGTCAGTTGACTTTGCAATGCCAACAGATCCAAAAATTGACAGAGAAAGTGGCGCACAAAACAATAATATTGGGTAATCGGCTAATAAAATTATTCGACAAATTCATTGCTTCTAAAGTTAATTTGATTGGATTTTTATTTTACGCGTTTGTTTATTTCATTTTCTTTAGTGCGATTAAGCCTGAAATTGAGCCGTTATCATGGAAATTTTGGCAAAAAAGGCGATATATCGTCGTATTGATGGCGTTTCTAGGATTTTTCAATGTATATTCATTGCGAGTTAATTTAAGTGTTGGTATTGTTGCAATGACAGAATACCGAACCGTTTACTATCCAAACGGAACAGTTGGATATGTAAGTATTAAAATGAATGACGATCATAAAGCACGTCGTTATGATAAACGGTGTGTTAAAAACACACTAACAAATAGTAAACTAATAAAAATTTAATATTTTTCTTGAAGGAGCAAGAGTTTGCATGGGATTCAAAAGATCGTGGACTAATTTTGAGTTCGTTTTTCTGGGGCTACATTCTGACACAGTTCATAGGCGGGCTACTGGGTTCTAAAATTGGCGGAAATCTCGTAAGTAATAATCCTCACTTGACATTCAAATACTCAAAATACCACGCTCCATCTCATTTCATTACATTACAATGGTTCTAAATGGAGCTTATTTACTATACTAATCAAGCGGCATTGACCAAATATGAAGGAAGAATAGAGCGAAAATCAAAAATGTTTTGCTCAATTATCTTTGCCATGTGATGTTCGTTTTTGTTTATTTCCCATTGTCGTACACATATATATTCACGGCTCATTGCACTTCTTTGTTCATCTTTCGTCGAATATTCAATAAAAAAAAAGTATGTGTGTGAGTCATAAAATGAATGCATTTGCTATCAATGTAATCGTTATTACGGTGTGTCGTTTAGGAAAATGAAATATACAACAAATTGCATGCAGCACCTTCAAATCTCAATGTGGAGACATAACAAGTTGCAATCAAGAACGACAATTCTGTTTATACATCTATTTTTTTTTTCTTCTAAATCGCATGAGAAATGATACAACGATTTCTAATATCGATAGTATCTGAATATGTCGTTTCAAGTTTTCGGAAGGACAACTTTCATTTCCCGCATATGAATAAATTTGAAGATGAATACCGTATGGCTACAAATTGAACAGAAGTTGAATGATTGAAAAAGTTGATACGAGTAAATCAGAATCTTTTCGCCATTTAAGTGCATTCGCTTTATATAAAACGCATGAATTGCACAACAATCATGTGCATTGTAAATATAGTATATTAAATAATAACCATGAATTTGCTTCAAAAATCGTTTCGATTACAAATGCACGGCAGCAATAAAATCTGAATATTATTTGACATGCGGAAATAATTTCATGTCATCTCGTGTGCCTTTTGGTGATTGTTTTGCACATTTGGTTGTACGCACATATACATACGAAATTGTAATTAAATCTATAAACAAACAATTTTATCAGAAGTTTGTAGTGTAAATTGCACGTTCGGTGACATTGGCAGATTTTTCGATTCACGATTTGTTTTTTTTTTTACAATTATAGGTGTTTGGAATTGGTATCGCGGTGACATCCATTCTAACGTTGCTCACACCACTGGCGGCCAAAGCTGGTGTTGGCTCTTTGGTAGCTGTCCGATTGATTGAAGGCATTTTTGAGGTAAACAAAAAAATGACATTCCCATCGAAAAATGTATATTTATTCATGGAATTTGTGTTTATCAGGGCGTTACATTTCCATGCATTCATGCGGTTTGGTCACGATGGGCACCGCCACTTGAACGATCTCGAATGGCAACTATCGCTTTTGCTGGCAATTACGCGGGAACAATTGTTTCAATGCCGGTTAGCGGAATTCTGGCAAATGAATTCGGCTGGGAAAGTTGTTTCTACGTTTTCGGTAAGATATTTTTCTAAACGAAGCAATAGTTCTTATTTAGCAATAGATAAAATTCAACTCAATTCGAATTTTAGGGGCTATTGGTTGTGTTTGGTACGTGTTATGGATTATAATTGTTCGTGAAAGTCCGGATAAGGATAAATACATATCAAAGGATGAGTTGCGTTACATTCAAGACAGTTTGGGATCAAATACAAAAGCAAGTATCAAACATCCGTGGAAGGATATATTTACATCGAAAGCGGTATATGCAATCAGTGCCTCACATTTTGCGGAAAATTGGGGCTTTTACACAATGTTAACACAATTGCCAAGTTTTCTTAAAGGTTTGTGATAGGTTTTTCTTTCAAATGATTCAAATTCACCAATTCAATTATTTGCTTTTGTACGTAGATACTCTGGGTTATAAATTGGAAAAGGCTGGTTTTCTGGCGGGCGCTCCATATTTGGCAATGGGAATTTTACTTGCTATTGCTGGATATTTGGCAGATATTTGCCAAGTCAAGGGTTATTTGACAACTACACAAGTGCGGCGATATTTCAATTGTGGAGGTTAGCATTCGAGCATTTATAATCTTGTAATATTTCAATACATTTTTCCAATTGTTCAGGATTTTTGGCTCAAACGGTTTTCTTGATGACAGCCGCATATTTGATGAGTCCAACTGGAACGATCGCTTGTATTATTATAGCCATTGGACTGGGGGCATTTTCTTGGTGTGGTTTTGCGTAAGTTATTCTTTATGTTACAACGTGCTTTTCTTCTCATTGAACTTCTCACATAAATTGAACATTTCAGTGTTAATCATCTGGATATAGCTCCGCAACATGCTAGTGTTCTAATGGGCATTTCCAATACGTTTGGCACCATTCCTGGGATCGTCTCTCCAACCTTAACCGGTTTCATTGTTTTGAACTCAGTAAGCTATATTTGAATTGTAATGAAATGCATGTGTAAAAAATAATTAATTTTTTCATGCTAAATATCTAAATTTTCAGTCAGCGGAAGAATGGCAAATTGTTTTCATGATTTCAGCCGGTGTATATTTGTTTGGTTGTGTTATTTATTGGATGTGGGCAACTGGCGAGGTACAACCATGGGCTCAAAAAACATCATCTAGTGAAAGTAAACCAAAACCAGCCGATACTGCAACATATGTTGGCTATGCGAACGAAGGTCTCGAAATGAGTGAATAAAACATTCAATCGAATTACAAAATTATGCAAATTTTAGCCTATAGGATATTTTATAGTTTCGGTCATAAGAAAAAGAATAAATAAATTTTCCCGTTGTCATATGGTAGAATTATGATGCTATTTTTTCGTCGTTTTGATAGCCTCTTCCAGAATCATTATATCACAGCAGACGGCAGTACGCGCGAGTGACGAAACCACATTAGTGTGTTGAAAAGTCGACTTGCTATATATACACGTAATTTCCAAATTCTAGCCTGGAAGGCCTTTAGCCGCGATTGGTGTATGTTTGGAAAGCTCTTGGGCCATAGATCAAGAAAAAATATCAAAGTTCGAAAATCGGCCCACCCTAGGGGCACCCGTGTACAAAAAAAGTGACTGACTATTTTGGGACAAACTGGCTGACTATTGACTGTAAAAACAAGCAACCTTAGTCAAATTTAGTTAACTTCAATCAATTAAAGTAAGCTATGGTTAACTGCAACAGCTAACTATAGTTGAAAATAATCATAGTCACCCGATAGTCGAAACGTCCCAAAATAATCGCCTGACTGACTGAGTAACTATAGTCGATTGTTTTCCATACAAAATTTTAAAATTCATGAATATAGCTAACTATAGTCACTTACAGTCAATAGTAACTTAGTCACTTTTTTTCCACTCGGGCATTTTACTATATGCGAATGCCATTTTATACGGAATATATGAACATTTTCCTATTCATACATGAAATATACGAAGTAAAGTATATTCATCCGCATCAACTTCTATGAAAATTGATACATTTCATTCGCAACCATTCGAGAATGACGCATACATCTTGCTAGATGCGACAAACTGTCATGTGACATTTGTACATACACATTACTGTGTTCAGTTTGTCGTGGCAGTATCAAACACAATGTCATCGTTCTTAATTAAATTTGAAAAACAGTCGAAGAAAAAAATACAAGAGCATTTGTTGAATATTATTTTAGAAGCCGTATTCGATTCGAAAAGTGAGATTTTAGATAAATTCAGATAATATAAAAGAAATTAAAAGTTACCTCAATGAAAATAATAACCTTTCACAAGGCACCGTTTACAGTGATTATATTACGAGTGGCAAAGATTTATTCACCATTTTAGAAAAATTTCACTCAATATTACCAAAAAATATCAATTCGGCTTGAATCTCTGTCACCTAATCTGTCACTTTGACTTTTTGAATGTAAAAATATGACTTTTCATATGCGCTATCCACAAAATGTGTATGAAACATTCGACACCGTCCGAAAATTTGTATGAAACATCCGCCACCATTCGCAAAACTTGTATGAAATCTTCGCGACCATTCGTTTCCATTTGCAAAATATATATGAAAAATTCGCTCGCTTATGGAACATTCGTATAAGTCGGAACCCCCTAGGGCCCACCTGTCTTCAAAATATGGTCCTTTCAAGAAAATAAAAAGTCTTCGAAATAGTAAGTCGAACTTTTCAACTCAAATCACGACAGACCTTTAACCGACCTCAATAACCATGTTAAATAGTGTTGAACCATGATGTCCGACCTCAATAGCTTTGTTAAATAGATTTGGACCATGATGGCCGACCTCAATAACCGTGTAAAATTTTGTTAGAAAAAATAGTTGTAACAATGTCAAATTCATGTTTTCCATAAAATATATTCAAAAAGTCTCTTACTAAAGTTGCACAAGCGTTCAGAACACTGGGCCTTTTATATGATTTTTCGGACAGACAAGTAATACAAAATCCTTGAAATACTTAGCAATTGAATAAATACCGCCTCTTGTCTAATTTGTGAATAGCAAACGTATTAAAGTTTCCAACAAAAACACGTCCACCTGATCAATTGGCTGTTATAAACCAGTGATTGTTTTTTCCTATCTGAATAGCGCTAGCTATTCGCAGCGTCTGAACAGCATTGCTGCCCAGATGCTGAATCGAAGCGGTTACCGCACGCGTTTTGTACCACACAACATATTGTCATATAGTCTAAGTAACCAGTGAGCTCACAGAGTATGATACACTAATACCATAGTCAGTATACAAATGCATGTCGAACAGAGAACGAAAGCGAACGTATATGCTCTGTGTGGTACAAACGAAGTGTGTTGCGCGTGCGTCAACCGCTACGATTCAGCATCTGGGCAGCAATGCTGTACAGGCGCTGCGAATAGCAGATTCAGATAGGAAAAAACCATCACTGTTATAAACAAACAAACAAACGAACAATATATTTCTCATTAAATTTGTCAGCCTTGTTAGTATGTATATACACAAAAAAACCTGTGCAAAAAACTTTTCAAATAAACTCTTTATTGATTTTGATATTATTTTTGTAAAATTGATGACAAATTAGTTGAAATTTAGCTGCGTAATTAATTTTATTATGACGAAACAATATTGAAGTTATCATAAATGAGGGGTTTTCAAAGAAGTATCAAAAACTCATTTTAAAAGACACATTTCATTTTACGTAATGGTTTCCAAAGCTAAGAGCTACTTCACTTTTTAATCGAGCCAAAATGCATTCAATTAATAAAAATCGTATTGATTGCTGAACGTAGTAATGAGGACCTGTTAGATGACCGTTTAAAGAAACATGTATTATCTATTTGGTTTTTCAGGTGGAATGAAGCGAAATATGCATATACATTACATTCAACTTACGGAAGAATGCAAGATTGAAAAGATTACACTTCCTATACTGCAAAAGGCAATACACGCATAAAATAACTTTATACAATTTCCGAAAGCTTAAGCTATAAAAACACAAAAACTACATATCAATTGTGCTTATTTATTTATTGTATCTATTTCTAGATCGATTTACCAATTAAATTTATACATTACATTCGTTCAGTTTGATTTGTTAAAATAAATGACTCAGATATTAATTGTTTGAGATGGTTGTGGTGGTATCTGAAAAAATAAGACATCGAAATTGTGATGCGCATAATATTTTCTAAGTTTTTATCAATCATTTGTGGATAAACTAATATCTATTTCACATTGAAGCATAGCTTTTGACGAGGGTCCAAATTATCCCCTTCTGGAAAATGACTCGAAAATACCCCCTAGATTTTTGGGGGACAATTTTGAAATTCGATTTTTTTTAAACCATGCTGAAAATGAATTTCTGAGTGAGTGTTTGATAAATGCCACAAAATGATGATTCAAGAAGATCGATTATTCAAACGATAATTACGTTTCAAGACCAAAAATGCGCCAGCTCGTATTGGGAAAAAGAAGACGATTCGTTGAAAAAGGCGCAGCTCTTGTATGTTTGCTTAAGCTTGTTTTAGTTGGAGAAGAAGATCTTATTAAAGATGG